TGTTGAACTTTCTTCTCCTGCGTCATATTCTTCATGCAATTTGTTTGAGCTGCGCCCTCTACTGTACAGACGTGAATTTGCATTTCCTTCAGCCTGAGGCGTATTAATTTCACTTCTGTTGTGAAAAGGGCTTTTACATTTGTAAAAGAACTTTTTATATTAACAACAAACAAGCAAGCCCTGCCCAGATTTTAAAAGGAACGCAAAAGTAACGTAACGCATTACTTTCCATAAAAAGTAACTAAGTAACGTAATTAGAAACTTTTTTTGGGAGTAACGCAATATTGTAATGCATTACTTTTAAAAGTAACTTTCCCCAACACTGACTGCCATCCAGACAAACACACACACACACACACACATCAGATTAGCGACACGAGTTTGAGACACAATCCACCAAACTCATCTAAACTCACCACTCCTGACAGAACCGGATGCCCACAAAACCAGGTTCATACGTGCCACCTTCCAAATCCATTATAAAGTCACCGTAGCTCTATATGAAGGGCTGTAGAGATAGCAATAAGGGAAAGGGATAAAAGATAACAGCTCTCTTGCACTCCGTCGAAATGTCTAGAAACAGAAGCTTGTGCGCATGCGTGACCTCCACTTTAGTGCTGCACAGATCAATCACAGCGCCTCCTCGTGGCGGAGGACAAAACAATGATCTTTCCTCGGAAAGAGACGTGTGTAATGTTTTAATGTTTCATTTATTCTGATTATCAACTGTCAACTTGTTTTCTTTCAAGGTCAGTTACGACCGGTTTCATATTTCCTTTTGGAACTGATTGATCTGAGCTCATGCGCCTTATTTTTTTTTTAGTTAAAAAGCATTTGTTGATAATTCTGGCAATATTAAATTAGATAAAAATAGTACTGTTTATCACGCTTTAATGTTTAACCAGAAAAGTTGTTTTTTTTGTACAACTTTTATTTTGTACAAAATGGCGCAAAGTCACACTTCTTGTGATGTTCCCGGTCAAAAATGACTGGTCTACCAAAAACAGCTTATATCTTCATATATAGCCTAATCTTGTCAACTTGTACCGAAATAACATTTTGTCAACTTGTTTTCTTTCAGTAAGGACAGGTCAAAATGACCAGAACACAACATGAGGGTCAAAGAGAGCTCATTCTTTCTTTGGGAATATGGCATTTATGAAAACCGAATACAGTACCTTATACCCTTAGACTGATGAAGTTGCAAGATATACTTTTATATTTTTTCTAAATACAACAGTAACTTGTTTTTTTGAATTCCTTACACAAATAATTACAACCATGGAAAACATGGGGGAAAAAATAGGACCTTATTGCTGCCTATGGCAGGTATTCTAATCAAATTCAAATGCATGGATTGAATACTGACTTCTTTTTATGGAAAACCATTGTAGTGAACACAATTTAGGTTTTGAAGAAATGTGTACCATTTTCAGATCGACAATTCATAATTAGCCTCGTCTGCTGTAAGATTTAAAATATTTAAACAATAAAATATATTAAAAAAAATGCAATACAGTTAAATCAGGAACAACGAATACATTTCATTTGTGTTAGGAAGATTTAGGCTGAGTCATGTTATAGAAGTTATTTAGAAGTCAAGTAATCCAATAAAAAAGTTTAATATAAGTATAGTGCAGGTCTATACTGGGTGAAAAGATATTGTTAAATTATTTGTTTTGGTATTTCAAACAGATACAAAAATCTGCCTGTCAGGTTAATTAAATCATGTTTGCTATTGATTCATTTTGCTTGTTAATTTGATTGTTTATGGTATTTAATTTTGCACCATTTGAAGCCATACAATCAGGCATTCCTTATTATGCAACAAGAGAAATTCTGCAGTCAAATTTCATGTTTGGATGCACATTATTTTGTGATGTTCCACAACAGAGGCAGAAGTAAAACCTAAAACAGGCGACCAGCCTGTGGATTGTAAATCCATAGAAATGAACGCGACACAGTGCAATATCATTCTTGGCCACAGGGTGGAGGCAAAACCAAATTGACCAGAAAACATATCTAGTCTGCTCTCCATATAACAGGTAGTACACACACTAATGAATGCTAGCTCTGTCGTTCACATTATTATAAAATCTAAACATTTCATGTATTAAACTGTTATAACATTCTGTTAGCAAGTATGTACTTGAAGGGACAAGAAAAAGAAAGAAGCACTTAAGAACAAACATCCTTCTGCTATTTCAAGCTCCCAACGGAGCAACATAAAATAAGATCCGTTCCCGAACCCCTGCTAGTCCACCACGGACAGATAAGTAGTTCATAATCTGAGAGTCTGCTGTGCGGTCACATTTGGTGCACGGCTGTTGTCAAATGCAACTCAGACCACATAAAAAACAGATGATTCTAAAAAAACTGTGGCGACAAATTGAAAACATGGAGAAATAGTCTGGAAAAGCATTCTTTTGTCAGTCAGCAATGTCCTTCAATATCCTCCAGACGGACTACTTATTTTTTCCCTTTAGAAATGATAAAATAAGAGAGTTATGAGCATTATGGCAGACAGAAATTCATACTTCCATGAATTCAGTTACATTTTCATGAAATTGTAAGAAACTACAGTGTCCCCAAAATGATTTGAAGCCTTGTGACTAGAAACATTTAGTAAAAATGACTCAGAAAAGAGAAATTAGTTCTGAGAAAAGTTTACAGATGACACGTTTGTAAGTGTGTAACATCAAAAAATCCTATACTGCACCTTAGTCTTTCTTCTCTTTTTCCCAGATTTAAGCTCCTTTGCACTTTTCAAAATAGCACTGAATGTTTCTGCGGACATGCGTGTTGAAACCTGGATTTTTATTGGAGATAGTTTAGCTGTCAAAAAGATGGGGAAATGATTTACAATCTCATTTGACCAAACCAAAAGTGGGACACAATTTTGATCTCATAAATGGTATACGAGTAACTTCACATTTCACATGGGGAATAAACTCCAAAATGTAACATCTTTGCATGAGGTCACTGCAGCCTTATTTAAGTTGTATTTCCATATTTCTATAAATCCATACTTGCTTGTCTCTCTCTCAGGGCCTCTAAAAACACTTTTGCACCATCTTCTCCAATGTGATTCTCACCCAGATCCAGTTCGGTCAGGCAACTGGAGAACTTAACTATACTGAAAGACATTTATAGAAACATACAGTATACTGAGACAGCGCAAGCATGTCATATTTGCTCAAAGAGCATCACTTGATGAGTCAGGATCAACAGTTCAGACATATGCTAAAACATGTACTCAGTGTAGCCAATCCAATCTTAAGTCTACCATTTAACAAACACAAAACATACTGAGAAACAGTAACAGCTGTAAATGATTTTGATTGTAAATGCTGACAGAGTGTATTTTAATCAGTGTTAATGAAAAATATTCAGTGTGTTGCCAAAGAAATCATTTAAAGTTAGTTAAAGTTGTTAAAGTTGTTTTGCGCCAAAAACAATAGTGTCACGAATCCGATCCATGAATTTCCATCCACTTGCCACCAGAGGTCGCCCTTCCATGATATTGACTCTCGCACCACACAGACTGTTACACATCACCCTGGACTACATTTCCCATGTTCCATTGCACTGATTACACTCACACCTGAAACCAATTACACGCTCACCTGAATGCTATTACACACACTATATAACACCTACCCTGATCCTGCTGTAGTCGCTAAGTGTTGTTCTGCATTTTTCACTCCCCAAGTGTTAGCTGCCTTACCGAGAGCCATTCCGTGTTTTCTGTTTTAGTCTCGTGTATTGTTTTGCGTTTATCCCTGTTTAGCGGATAGCTACCTTACCGAGCCTGTTTAAGTTTTCATAGTTTTCTTAGTCTAGTCTTGCCTTGTCTGTTTTCCTGGTCTCTGATTCACGTCACGTATCTTGGATTAACCCTTTGCTTGCTGTTTCTGACTCTGTTTGCCCCTGCCTGGACCTTTGCCTTCTACCTGGATTTATCTCTTGCCTTGCCTTCGATATACCTGTTTGCCATTGTCTGACCCATGCCTGTTAAAACCACGTCTCTTAATAAAAGCTTGCATATGGATCCGCATGTCTCTCATCTCATAACAGATAGTTTAATTATTCATGATCATTTTCCACTCTCTCTCTGGCCATTCCTGTTTTACAGGAAGCGAAGTAGCAGCGTAACTACAACAGCAGCTTCCTATTGTGCTTTCATGCTGATTCCGTCTGGTGTGCAGTCAAACTACGGTTATATACAGTAAAAAAGTGAAATTCTGAGTTATTGATTTTTCTATATAATATGAAATTGTCATAATGATAACATGAGAGGGGGGAAAGGGGTTTAATTTATATGAGAAAGGGAACCACATTTATATCCAAATTACTTTACAACACCAAAAATAAACTACTTATATTATTTGGATTCAGTCAGATTTACTGAATAGAAACAACTGTTTGTGTGCCTGTGGACAGGTGTATTTCAATGTCACCTCATAAAACTTTTGCAATTTACATTGTTACATAGTTTAGAATGTATTTTGACTTTCTTTCCTGAGTTCTGCATGTAATGTGTAAAACTTTACTTGCAATGCTGGTTCTTCTACACAGCAGTGAATGCTGTAATCTGTTCATAAGGATGCAGAAATAAACAAGTGCCGCATACGTATTGCAGATGCTTGCGTAAAACAGAACTAGGCCGTGTTTTGCTAGAAAAAAGAATCAAGAATTGCTTCATATAAGACTACTTCGAAAATTTTCGGTTCACAGTCATTTTTTATTAGTCTTGTTGAAAGAGAGAAGGGAAATGCTTTATTTTTTTAATAGCTACTATGATCATAGTTATCATGAAACATATTACGCACGTCAATATCTGTCCAGAAACTTCCTACAGTAAATGTAGATTTATGTGCGACTATGGGATCAGCAATCTGACAGAAGATATATCATATGTGGACAAAAAAGCACCCTGAGAACTGAAAGCAGAAGTTCTTGACTGAAATGTCTTACACTCTAATAACCAGGTCAACCGTTATATTGAATCTGACCTCTGTGCATAAAATATGATGTGAAGACAGTAAAGACTTATAGGAAGCAAAAGACGATTTATTCCTAAACAGAACAGACGCAGCTAGATCTCACAGCACGTTCTTATAAAAAGAAGTGCACTTGTACCTCAAATCTTAAAAGTATTTTTACATGCAGATCATATAAAGTTAATGAAACTAAAGGTCACTTAAGTGCACTTTAAGAGAGAACTGTTTCATGACACTTTTAAAAAGTGCACTTTGTAATAATGTCAAATTATGAGTTTTACTTTAAAGTACATTTTAAATAATTGTTTTAATAATTATGGGCTCTAACTTAATGGGACTGTTGACAAATAGACTTAAATGACTTTTAGAGTTAGATTTTAGATTTAGTTTAACCTCCATTTACTCTCAACTGTGCCCTGATGCTGCCATGCTGATTTTTGTAATGAATTGAGCCTCATGCTTGAACAGTTTAATTGCATCAGCGAGTCAATCCTTTATCCTTTTAAAATTTATATTAAATCCTGAACTTTACAGTGCTTTTTTTGACCCACTTAAGTACGTCTTAAGTACATCTTTATATGTCATTTAATAATTAGTTAGATTTTCTTTCTCCAAATGTACTGACAATCATTTATGGTAAACTAAAATATACTTTAATCTTATTTTTATTGAAACCTGTATGTCATGTATTTAGATATATATTTAATTGCATTTTTGCAATAAAGAAGTTTAAATTGAGTACATTTAAAATATATTAACTTTAAATGTAACATTGTTTAAAACATTACAGTTAAAATTATAATTCAAGTACCTTACATGTGCTTTAGTACATCAAAATAAGTGTACTTCTTGAAAGCATGACATAAGATAAGACATATGATATAAGTGCACATAAGTATGTTATGAAACATAGTCATGAAAGTGTTCTCTTTAACTACACTTAAGCGGCCTGTAATGTTATTAATATTATATTATCTGCAAATACAGTTTTTAAGTATATACTTTTATCATTTTAAGTACACTACAAGCGCATTTCTTTTTCACAAGGGTAACAGGGAATCCTCATCAAGGGTGCAGACTTTTAAACCGAGGGCGAAGACAAGCTAATTTAGTAGCTTAGTCTGGTGCAAGTAAACATTGCTTACAGCAGCGTTAAACCTGTCAAAGCATTTTAAACATATCTGTGGGAAGTTTTGTGGTCAGAAATAGATCATACATGTTGACAATTCCAGTTCCCAAGAAAAGACAGTTGACATTTTGGACAATATATACTCAGTCATGTACTGAGGAGGTGACACTTACATGCAAAGGATCTCCAGGAATTGATTTAGTTGATTTGGTCCCTCCTTTCCTGAGCCATCAATGGAATTATCGCACATGTGCAGCTTCTCTAGCCACGGGCCTCCTGCGGCGCCATGGCCGCTCTTGGTTTTTTCTCTTTTCTTCTTTGTCTTCTTCCCTAACCACAACATGACATTCATAGCTGAGAATAATCTAGCATCCATCAAAAAGACATGACTCACTGCCTCCTCCCATTCATCAACAGATGGAATTCATTTTTATGATAACAGCACATAAAAAACAAGATAAAATTAAACTGGGAAGCCATTTTAAATCATTAGGAGAGGCCTATAAATTAAAACACACACAGTGGCAGAGAGACGTCTCTCCCTGAGTTCTCTCATTGGCCTATAGAGTAATGGGACAGTTTTGGGGGAAACAGCCAAATGCCGTTGGCCACACTGAGCAAGTGACAGCCAGCTTCACTCAACACCACAAACCACAAGTTCAGTTGTGGCCTCCCATAGGCCAGTTCACACCGCACCAACAAATGCAGATCAACGCCGACAGCTGACCGAGTGCAATATTTCACTTCTCAAACATTCCAAGCCCCGCCAAACAGCATGTTCAACTGGCGAAAACAAGCACTGACCCTTGCCAACACACATGGATGGGGTGAGCCAACAATACCTGACTAACATTGTCTGTTGCCGTTTGTTGGTGCAGTGTGAATTGGTTTTCAGAGAACATGATCAATGCAGGTGTGTGAGCACATGCAATATGTGTCATTTAGAAGTATCTGTGTACGTGTGTAGTAATGTGTGTGAAGCTGACATAGAAAATGAGCTTCAAGACCCATACTATTTAATATTTCTGTCCACATACTTCTGTGTTTTTTCTTCTTTTTTAAAGTCGAAAGTTGCAATAGTCTTTTCTTCCCTATTGTGACATATAGCCAAAACAAACAGCTTCTTGAACAGGAAAAAATGATGGTGCTACTTTGTTCATTGGGAATTGACTGGATAATTAGATCATTGTCGTTTGATCTTGCTGTGCAAACTCATGTGAGCCAAGCTGTCCCACCCTTATGCCAGTGGACACAGAGAAGATTAAAATTGAATTCATTTAAAATGTAATATAATGATGGGGACAAAGAAACTGGTTGATATACTGTTGGAAAGCAAACATTTTAAATAGTAATTCTAAATAGTAATAATTCTAAATAGTAATACATTTTAATAGTAATTCTTCGTAAACTTCATGTTGTTGAGTTTAAAAATTATTTTACACAATAAGCATAGTTAAATCTGTCGAATAATGTTACTAATTTAATTATATTATGGGTTCCCAAAATGTTTTTTATCAGCCAAACCCTGAAGTAGTAAGTTATTTACTTGAAGTAATTCTCTAATGTTGGTTAATGGTCTCATTACATGCAACTAAACAGATTATTAAAAAAAACAAAAAACAGATCGAAGTCTGCACATATTAGTAGAAAAGTAATATATTTAAAATACATTTATTTCATACTATGTATAGCTCAAATCTACAGATTTACTGACATATCACTTACTGATACAAAAATTATCATTAAACTTTATTTGGAGTACTACTTGTGCACAATGCACATTTTCTAATATTAAGCCTAAAATGTGTTTTAATGTCTCTATTGATGATTATTGTATGATCTTTGAATGATTATCAGACTTTAAATGCAAGATATTTAAAGTGTACCTTAAGTATACTTGCAATAGTTCCACTTTAGCACAATCAAATATACTTCAGTATATCTTTAGTTGGAGTTCAGCACTACTTCTTCACAATTAAAGTGCATTAAGTATAAAATTAGTTGTTCCAATTTAGTAGACTTCAAGTATAACCGTTTAGTATAGCAAAAGTACAACTGCAGGGTATTTTTATTAAGCACATAAATATGTAAATGTATTAGTATACTTAGCAAGAAAAAAAATATTTTAAATACATTTTAGTATATTTATTTTTCACTAGGGTGACCAAAAAAATCATATTGCAAATGAACACAGTGCTGCTCTATACTCTAACACGCAGTGCAGCTGAAATGACTATATACATTTTCATTAAATTGCAGCTTTTGATTTGATAATCATGAATCCATTTTATTTCAATTGATTAAGCACCCCCATATGTTAATTTTAATGCTACATTTGATTCAATTATTTATTAGCTTCTCTTCATCTCACAAACCCTCAAAGGGTTGCGAACCCTCTTTGGGAAACCCAATTACTATGTAAATAGTAAGTCATGAGACACAAATGGGAAAGAAATGACCACAAATCTATGCATAATATAACACAAAATAACTTACTTTGTTTAAATGAGTTTGTTTTTAGATCGCGGCATGATGTGTTGCTCTTTAAGCATGCTTCACTTTGTCAGACAGGTTCTATTTAAGTGATTTCTTGATTCAACAGGTCTGGCAGTAATCAGGCCTGCGTGTGGCTAGTGAATTTAACTCAGCTTTCTAAAATAACGTGGTTAATCACAGTTCTTTTTTATGATTTAACAGGAGGGGACAATAAATTTTTCACGTAGGGCCAGGTAGGTTTGGACAGCTTTTTTCCCTTAATAAATGAAATCATCATTTAAAAACTGCATTTTGTATTTACTTGCATTATCTTTGTGTAATATTAAAATTTATTTGATGGTGTGAATCTTTTAAGTGTGACAAATATGCAAAAAATTTAAAAAACAGGAAGGGGGCAAAAACCTTTTCATGGCACTGTACATGTGACTGTGCATACACGTGTGTCCTACACAGCCCTCTGTGACCCTATGGTATTTCCTGTTTCTCCTCCACATTGTCTCTGTGGATGTGCTGTGTTGTCAAGGTGCTGTAATAGGAGTCCTAAGCAAGTATATTTGCTCAGGTGGTTTCAAAGGAGGTTTTGTGCAAGTGTGTTTAACAAGAGGGACACCAAGAGCCCATAAGAGCTCCAAGTGATCATAGCAATAACTGTGTGAATATGCACATGCACTCAGTAGTTCGGAAAATTAGTGGTACCTTTGCTCTTTGCTTTCTTTTGTCTGGAAGATTTGGTATTGCTCCTTTGGGAGATCAACTCTGTTTCATCTAAAAGAAAGAAATGCTTGAATGGCATCACTTTGCACAAAATTAGGTTACATTACACCCTTTAATGTCTCCCGGTAAGAGTTGGGGAAAAAAACGATGAGATGATAATTTTGATAATTTAGTCTCTTGACACATTCCATTCCATAACATTACACACTGCATGTATGTATCCCACTCATACACAACTGTATACCATACAGAACTCTGAGGTTGTATTAGGTTTAGAAAAACGAAATTGCATCATATGACCCCTTTAAGAGAGACGTCTTATATTGACTTTTTAGGATAAAACAACTCCCTGAGGCACAATTAATTCAGCAGTCTTACTATTGATAGAATGAATTAGGTGAGAGCAGACAAACTCACATACACACCTGTGATGGATGTGGTCCTGTTTTGAATCTCTGCCAGTTTTTGGCTGTTTTCAGCCACAGGTTTCAGCAGCTCAATGGCACCCCCACACTGCAGCTCATTGCCATTGAGGTAGAGCTCCCTAAAGATGTGGATTGACCAATGAATGCATTTAACTTAACATTAAACTATAGAGTCTGTTATGTGTGACGTGATGTCAGAGGTCCTTAACACACAGACAACAAATTAGGCCCCTGTTTATCAGTAAATGATGATGAAAAATAAACAAGTTGCTGTATTTTCGCAATCGTAATGACTTGCAAGTAGGACAGCGTTAAGGCAGGTGTTTTAATTGTATCTTGAGTTACAGAAGCCCTCAAACACAATAGCTCAATCTCTTCTTCATTCATGGTTGATGAATTCAATTCTTGACAATACCCTATGCAGATTGCATCTGAAAAGAGCTTCACTTTAACCTTTATAAAGTGCATTTTTTATAGAACCTGCACTTTTATAGGCATTTTCCCTTGGAAAGCTCTGTCTTATGAAACTGATTTACAAGCGACTTGTTCTCAAAAAAGTGCACCCAGGATGGCCATGTGCTTTGAGATGACTTCCAAATTTCTGGGTGCCTGAAAATATTAACTTCACACACATTTTATAGCCTCATTTTGTCCTCACTGGGACTGTTCTTCTTGGGAGTACTGAAGCTCAATGTGGACAGTTAGATGATCCACATGCTTTAGTGTGATGGATAGCATGGATGGAAATAATTCCTTCCTGCCATGGTATTGACCACCTCATTGAGACGTTACCTAACCCATGTCTTGAGTGCTCCATTATGTCACTTATTGTGTGACAGCACGACATGTAGGATTTGAGCCCTGCCTAGATAACCTTTTTTGTTCCATCTGACATTCCAGCATGATATCAAGCAAACATTTAAAAACCAAAAAAATAAAACTCTCCTGGCTAGAGGCCAGCCTATAACAGGCCAGTGAGCAGTAGGGATGATCATGCACACAGACATCACCAGCTATGCAAACATGGTGGTGAAGTGTTGGCTGTATTGACTGTTGACCAACTTGAAATACACTTCCTTCTTAATAGAAAATATACTAGAAAGTTGTTGGTCTTGCTCTGGTCCTACTGAAACATTTTCCCCCAATTTTACGCTTTTTACAGCAAATGCACATCCCAAAAATTCACCGGATAGAGTTATTCTATAAGTCTCAGAGACATATTCCCCCTCACATAAGGACAACTTCAGATCCCAGAGTACCTCCAGCATCCCAAAATGTAGGTGCAAGGCCCACTCAAGTGGCTGCCTTATACAATTTCACTGTGTACGCCCAGTACAGGAGTGAGATGCCAGGAAGATGCCCTAATATACAAAGTTAAGATATGCGCACAAATAGATTTGCACACAAATCCTTCGGTTTTCCTTTATGGGTCATATATTTCAGTTCTTTGGTCTCCTTGTGAAACCAAGGATATTTTTGGAACCACTGCTATAAAGGAATAAGCATTAGAGTTTTATCTATTTATTTATTTATTTCAGGTTTATTTGACAGGGACAATGCACATCAATAATACATAAATGTACAATGTGCCAGAATTAGCCAGAAGGCTATCATATCTGCATGACTGACTCGACTGTGAAGCATCCCCACAGTAAGTCATATATGAGTCTTGGCAGCTCTTGAACCACATTAGCTCTAGTGTTCACTGTAAATTAGGCTGGACTCAACTCAATCTATTTAATTGGCCTAGTCCTGAACACTCACATAACCTTTTCCAGATCCCATTCTCCTCTTTCGTCTCCTGTTGTTTCCTGTCTCTCTCTTAACTTTCCCATCACAGAAAGGCCAAAAATATAACTTAAAAAATATATTTTGGTGTACTACACTCAACACTACATTAAATGAACTAAATCTTTAGAGGTGGAGCAACTAATATGGCAGGACTGAGGCATTTCTAGAAATTCTTGGTACTGTATGTGCCGACAATCTGTCTCAGACAGAGTAGAGTGGTGGAAAGTGTGTGGATGATCTATTGGATTGTCAAAATAGCCTTTTTTTAGGTCCACATAAGAGAGGGCCCTGTAATTCATGTCCACTCATGAAACCCCTGTGGCCCAGTAAGATGTCTTCAGCTGTAAGCAGTCATCAGCTGAAGCTCACATTCATGAATTAATATGTGATGAAATGTTTCTGCAGAAGCTGATGGATCCCAGGAGTCACAGAGATTCATAGGTTAATGGGAAACATAAGCATCAGTGGTCATAACAATCTGTACCTCACGGAACTGTTGGTGAGGAGTGAAGCTAGCAGAGTTCCGCTCCATGAACCCAAACCACAATAACACAAACTCAGGGAGGATATTCGACTGGCCCCCAAACCTCCACTCAGCAAACCTTTCAACCCTTCCGGTCCCACGCTGAGAGAGAAAGACAGACATAGAGAACATAGAGGCCATTATTAAACCTTTAAAAAAATACTGTACATGCTAAAACTACTGAAACAAAGCACACACAAAAAATGTGATGTGAGCACATCAGGGAACCAATAGAAAACCAATGCATTTAAATGCAAAAAAATTATGTGTTCTGTCTGAAAGGCCCCTAATAAAAAGTAATGTTAGTTTGATTCCCGGGATTTTGGCAGTTTATTAAAGTGCCCCTATTATGCCATTTTTAAGGTTGCTAATATTGTTTTATGAGTCTCCTAAAACAGGTTTACATGCATGCAAGATCAAAAAACACGTTAGTTTTCTCAAAAAAAAGATTTAATTTTACCAAATTTCTAAATGATTCGTAAACGACTCGTGCGAAGCAGTTCAAAGAATCAGTCTCTCTAAACCCCCCTTTCCTTGAGCCCTCACAGCTGTGATTGGTCAGATGGCGCAGTCCTTTGTGAT